TTTAGTTAATATTATTCTTCTTTACACTTTTCTTTTTTCTTTGTTTTTTATCGTCTTTATTATTACATTTTGTGCCTTTCACAATTGATTAAAAATAAAAAAAGGTAATTAGAAAAATGTTTTCTAAAATATTTTGGTTAAGTTTGAGTTCTAATTGCTGAAAATACTGCGTTAGAAATCAAAATTCACAATTTAAAATTAGTTTTCTGAAACTAATATACAGTTTTAGTCACTTCTGAAGAAGGATAGCATAATGTAGCTTATCATTGTAGAAACAAAGACAGAAAATAACAGATTATTTGTGCATTTTCACTTATGACTTGATACACGTTTGAAGTTTCATATTTGTTTTAAAGCAACAAAAACGGAATTATAATTTTTTTAGTCTGAAAAACAGTTTTGGTAGCTTTTTGAACATATTGTAGCTTTATGGAAAACGATAAAAAATCAAAACAGTAGACCACACTTATTTCGACAAGATATTTTGCAAAACACAGTATTTTTTGTTAAATTTTTCTCTAATTTTGTAATAGTTAAAGAAATAGTGCACAAAATTCGCAAAAAATATAATAAAAATCTTTAAAAAACTCATAATTAGTTGTGTTTTTTTGTGTTATATTTTCTAGATTTTGCTCAATGATCAGTGGTCATTTTTACAACAAAAAACCTCTTTATTTGCTTTAATTAGTACGCAGGTACTCTTTGTTTGTTTTAAGTAAAGAAACAGTTTTTGTTTATTCTAATTAGAACAAAGAAGGTGCAATTGACCATTTTTAAGCAAAAGAAGAGTCTTAAAACAAATACTTTTATAAAAATGCAATTTAAAGTAAGATTAACATGCATTTCTCCTATATGGCGCAATACCTGAATAGCAAACCTTAATTTCAAAAAATCATATCTTGAAAACTACTCGGTATATTATTTTAAAAATTTGGATTACAACTAATAAAGAGATGCTCTACACGATGGTAATGATGAAAAAAAATTACTTTTAGGGTTTTTCTTAGATTATTTCGATTTACTTCGAACTTCTTCGAACACTGTTCGAAGAAAAGTATGCCAATATTCAAAAAAATCAAAATTAATTAGTTCAAAGTGTGTGGACTTTTTAATTTTTTTTTAGTGCATTTGATTTCTCACTGAGACGAACAAAATGATATAAAATTTGTCAAGTTGTCACGACATGACTTTTTTTTGTCGCCTTGTGTTTTTAGTCAAATTGATGTAGGGTAAGTTCGGAAAAGATGGAGTCCTAGAAGGGTTCTAAGTTCCAAAGTACATTTCTACCGGATTTACTCTAACAATAATACATTGTGTGTTCTTATTCAAAACATAGTTTTAACACCTTTTTATATCTATTACTTGTCAAAGCATTTATTTATTGCTCATTTGAGTGTTTTATCGGTGTCAAATAAAATAATAAATGTCAAGTACATATATAGATAACCGATCAATTGTGTATCATTATTAAGATGGGCGTTTTTATCGATTTTTTCAAAAAAAAAATTCAGTTGGATTTTACTAAACGCTACAATTTTTGAATTTCTTAAAGATTTCGTTTTGAGCTGCTGAAGTAGTGCACAGTTGGAATAAATTATAGACAACCGCTACGCAAAGTGAGTAATTGTAGGCCGAAAACGGCCTCGGGCCCCCAGTAACCTTAACATTGGCTCGACTTTTGCCTCGCTCCCAAATTGGGTCAATTCTTGAGTAATACCGTCCTGTGTCGAGTCAATTTTTGCTTGTGTTTTATTGCAGTCCCTAACGAGTTGTCTGTTTAGTACCGAGCATTTAATAGCCTCTTAATTGGCCCCTCACAAGTTTCTCGTTTGTTCCAGGTGTAAATATGTGAATTATGGCCACGATTGATAGTGGGACGGAGACGCTCTTTTCCGACGACGACGCCTCCTGCGAGCTGGTGGGCTCACCGAGTGTGTGCTATGGGGACGAAGGACACTTCGAGGAGGTCAACAGACTCGCGCCTCCGAACATACAGCCGTTTAGCGGCGTTTTGGAAAAGGTAGGGAAAAAATTTGAAAAAATTTCATTTACCATAAATGCCAACTGTGTTACAATGTTCATAACTTTATTGCCATCGACCAACAAAGGATTAATAAAGTAGATGATTCAGGGAAATGTCCCACTGAAAGCAATGTCGTAAATATCAACGTCATAAAGTAAAAATGAATATTTTCTTTGAACGGCTTTAAGGCACATTAACCGAGAAATTTACTTATGGTAATTGCACACCATAACAGACTTTTGACCACCTTGTCGTAAAATTTAACTCCAAAATCGGGGAAAAAGAGGAGTTTTGCTCTTTAACGACCAAAATCCACGAAGAGAAAAGAAGAGAAGAGGAAAAAATTATTTCTTGGTTACTATTAGCAATTTTTTGAAACAGAAATTAATTTTTTTAGAAACAAATTGAATTCCGCATAAGAATTTTACTTTTGATCTTTCCTCTGAACAAAAAAGTGCCAAAAAATTCGCGAAAATGGGCAATAAAATTATAATTTTTCTAATACATAAAACGGCTCTCTAATTTACACTAAACAGTCTCCTTTTTTAGTTTCAACTGTGAAAGATGTTTCTAAATAATGAGAATAAAATTTTCAACAATTCTGTTATTAAAATGAAAAGAAAAATACTCTGAAATTCGGAAAAAAGGAGCACACAAAAACAAAATAAGGAAAACATAAAAAACACAACTAATTATGAATTTTTTTATTATATTTTTGCTAATTTTGTGCACTATTACAAAATTAGAGAAAAATTTAACAAAAAATAGTGTATTTTGCAAAATATCTTGTCGAAATAAGTGTGGTCTACAGTTTTGACTTTTTTATTGTTTTCCATAAAGCTACAATATGTTTAAAACTATCAAAACTGTTTCTCAGACTAAAAAAATCATAATTCAGTTTTTGTTGCTTTAAAATAAATCGATAAAAAACGTCAAACTTGTATCAAGTCAAAAGTGAAAACACACGAATGATCTGTTATTTTCTGTCTTTGTTTTTACAATGATAAGCTACATTATGCCATCTTTCTTCAAGAATGACCAAAACTTTATAAGGTATGTTAGTCTCAGAAAACTAATTTCAAATTATGAATTTTGGTTTCTAAAACAGTATTTTCAGCAATGAGAACCTAAACATAACCAAAATAATTTAGAAAACATTTTTTTCATGATTTGTTTAATTTTTAATCAATTGAGAAAGGCACAAAATGTAATAATAAAGACGATAAAAAACAAAGAAAGAAGAAAAGTGTAAAGAAGAATAATATTAACTAAAAAAAACACTACTAAGTAATTATCAATTTTTTCGAGAAGAGAAGAGAAAAAAACATTTTATGTCCGATATTAGCAATTTTTTTGATTCAGAAATCATTTTTTAAACAGATTGGATTTTGCATAAAATTTTACTTTTGACCTTTCTTCTGAGCGGAAAAAAGTTAAAAAATTCTTGAAAATGGGCAATAAAATTAAAATTTTTCTAACAAAACGGCTTTCTAATTCACACTCAGCACCTCAAAAACATAGTCCTTTTTTAGTTTCAACTGTGAAAGATGTTTCTAAAAAATAAGAATAAAAATTTCAACAATATTAATAAAAATGCTGTTATTAAAATGAAAAGGAAAATACTCTGAAATTTGGAATAAATGAGGACACAAAGAACAAAATAAGGAAAAAACAACATAATGAAACACAACTAATTATGCATTTTTTAAAGATTTTTATTATAATTTTTGCCAATTTTGTGCACTATTTCCTTAGCTTTTACAAAATTAGAGAAAAATTTAAGAAAAAATAGTGTATTTTGCAAAATATCTTGTCGAAATAAGTGTGGTCTAAATTAAATTTTTTTATTGTTTTCCATAAAGCTACAATATGTTCAAAAGACTACCAAAACCGTTTTTCAGACTGAAAAATTCATAATTCAGTTTTGTTGCTTTAAAACAAATCGATAAAAAACTTCAAACTTGTATCAAGTCAAAAGTGAAAATACACAAATGATCTGTTATTTTCTGTCTTTGTTTTTACAATGATAAGCTACATTATGCTATCTTTCTTCAAGAGTGACCAAAACATTATAAGGTATGTTAGTTTCAGAAAACTAATTAAAAATTGTGAATTTCGGTTTCTAAAACAGTATTTTCAGCAATTAGAACTTAAACTTAACCAAAATAATTTAGAATCACTTGTTTAATTTTTAATTAATTGTGAAAGACACAAAATGTAATAATAAAGATAATTAAAAAACAAAGAAAAAAGAAAAGTGTAAAGAAGAATAATAGAACTAAAAAAACATAATTAAGTAATTATAAATTTGTTCGAGAAAGGAAGAGAAAAAATTATTTCTTGGCTATTAGCAATTTTTTTGATTCAGAAATCAATTTCTTTAGGAACAGATTGGATTTTGCATAAAAAAAATTACGTTTAATCTCTCCTTCCAACAGAAAACTGCCAAAGAATCCTCGAAAATGGGCAATAAAATCAAAATTCTTCTAATAAATCGATTTTCTAATTTGTATTCAACACCTCAAAAAACATAGCTGTTTTTTTGCCAAAATGAGGGAAAGAAGTGAAAACTTTTGTTACTATTATTTATTTTTTTATAATTTTCAACGAGAGAACAGATTTTTTTCATGTATAAGAACCTTTTTTTGCTTTATTTTCTTATTTATTGACACTGAACTTGGCCAAGTCTGATGTAATTACGCAAATTGTATTTATTCTTGCACTGGAGCGAAAAATCGGTAATAATCTTTGATTGGAGTCAGGAAATAATTGATTTATAGTAATTCCCAATGTCGCAGTGTATGTTTACGCTATTTTTTGGTTCATTTCCGTCATATTGAGTAAACAAACAATCCGTGTGGAGAATGTGGTGATTGCAAAATTCCTTCAATGATTTGCATTTAATCGTCACGCAAAAATAATTACGTGTAAAAGTGTAGGAAAGAAATTAATACGATTTTAATTACAGAATTTAATATCCATTAATCATTCACCACAATGCTATTAATGTCAATTACGTACAAGTTGGGTACTTAAAGTATGAATGAACAACAATTAACACAGAGTTTTGCAATCATCGATTCCGGGAAGATCGTCCTTCCTGACGGTTTCGGGCGCAGCAGAAACGAAATATTTACTTTTATTTTTGCAAAAACTGGTTTGAATTTATTCGATTTCGGTTTCGGCTGAGCTCCGGTATCAGGTGTCGTAAATAAAGCGGCCAAAGAACGTTAACACGAGCAATTCTAGAAGGACGACTTGCCCGCCCCGAGGCCCCAAAAACTCTTTTTTTCCCCCTAAAGAGGTACTTTCTTCACTCATTAAGCCGAGTCAGGAACCAACACTCGCAGACAGTTATCCAAACATTTGCGCTATTTAAATATGGACTAATTATTAATTTTTTAAAGATTCTTATTAAATTTTTTTCATTGTTGTGCACTATTTCGTTAGCTTTTACAAAATTAGGAAAAAAATAATTGAAAAAATTGTGTATTTTGTTTTGTTTTCCATAAAAAACTACGATATGGTCCAAAAACCACCAAAACTGTTTTTCATACTTAAAAATTCATAATTCAGTTTTTGTTGCTTTAAAACAAATCGATAAAAAACGTCAAACTTGTATTAAGTCAAAAGTGAAAATACACAAATGATCTGTTATGTTCTGTCTTTGTTTCTACAATGACAAGCCACGTTATGCTATTCTTCTTCAATACCTTACAAGGTATATTAGTTTCAGAAAATTAATTTCAAATTGTGAATTTTGATTCCAGCAATTAGAACTCAAACTTAACCAAAATAATTTAGAAAAGAAATTTTTAATCACTTTTTTA